TCAAAGTGTTGCTAAGAATAAAGATGAACTGCAACGTGTTTTATCAGGCAAGAACTATGCTGCCGCGTTTTTATCAGAAACGTGGACTCATTTAACTGAAGAATCTAGCAATAAATACACCGTATCCAGGTACCATAAATTTTTAATGTCAAGAAATGATAATTATGGTGGTTGTGCCATTTATCTTCGTCAAGATTTAGATTATTTTAAATTATCTATTCCTCAATTGTCAGATTTAACACAAGTTGTGGTAATTAAATTAGTTTGTTTGGATTTGGTCATGATGTCTCTCTATATTGCTCCTCAAATTTCCAATAGTACATTGATTTCGGATTTGAATTTAATTTTTAATTTAGCTAAACAGTATTCTAAAGTTATTATTGCTGGTGATTTTAATGCGCATCATTTTGTTTGGGGTAATGATTATCAAGATGCTAAAGGCGATTTAATTTTAGATTATATAAACAATAGTAATTTGATCCTCTTAAATGATAATTCAAAAACATTTGTACCTATACAATGCAATAGGAAATCAACTGCAATAGACCTAACCTTATGTACATCCAATATTCATTCTTCGATAAAATGGGAAACCTTGAGCAATAGCATAGGTAGCCATCATTTATTAATAGAGTTTGCTTTTACGAGTCACTTGCAAATTACACGACCACAGTATTTTTATAACCATAAAAAAATCCGTGATGCATTATGTAATATAGATTCAGATGATTTTAATTCAATACAAGAATTACAGGAACTAGTAACAAAAACCTTTTCGAAAAATAGACAGGTCAATAAATATATCCCAAAATACTGGTGGTCAGAGAATGTGGAGACAGCTTGGAAAGAAAAGAATGAGGCGAGAGCTATTTTTAATAAGATTTCAAGTGTGGAAAATTTAATATTATTGAAAAAGAAGCAAGCCATATTCACAAAATTGAAAAATGAATCAAAAAAATTAAGTTTTAAAAATTTTGTTGAAGGAATTAATCCACAAATGAATTCATCAGAGCTATGGCAAAAAATTAATCGATTAACTGGAAAATGTAAACAATATCAGAATAATAATTTATTATACGAAAATGATGTAATGGCTGAAATTTTTGTAGAAAAACATTTCGGACCTAACAATCCAGAAAACTTAACAAACCTGCACTATTCTATTGATTATAATCTTTTAAATTTTGATAAATTTAATAACATTATAAATAAAAAAAAGAAAAAATCTAGTCCTGGGGAAGATAAAATTTCTTACGATGTACTAAAAAATCTAAAAATTGAAACTAAAATTAACATAGTGAATCAATTAAACTTAATTTGGAGAGATTGTTTTTTGCCATTGTCACTAAAAACAATTACAATAGTTGCAATTCCAAAACCGGGTAAAAACCAATGTACAATTGAAGGCAAACGGCCAATATCTTTAGTTCCTACTTTGACTAAAATAGCAAATACAGCAGTTTTAGAAAAAAATTCAAAATTTTATTAATGAGAAAAATATTATTCCTAGTACATCTTTTGGTTTTAGAAAAAATTCTTCTACAATAACATGTTCTAATTTTTTAATTAATACCATAAAAGAAAATAAAAGACAACATTTTGTAACTGCGTGTATCTTTCTAGATTTATCAAATGCTTTTAATGTAGTTAATACAGATAAATTAGTTGAAATTTTGCAAAATTATTATTTTCCTGCTGAAATTACTTCATGGATTTTACAACTTTTAAAAAATAGAAAGATTATTTTTAACACAAAAAATAGGAAAATTGAACGATTCGTAAGTAATGGTCTTCCCCAGGGGGATGTTCTTTCTCCCACTCTTTTTAATATTTATACATCTAAACTTCATAAAATTTTTGATTCTGAAGTAGTGCTTGTACAATATGCGGATGATTTTGGTATCGTAGTAAAAGCTAAAGATTTAGAAAGTTTAAATACTAAAATGCAAAATGTTGTCGATAATTTTATTCAAGAAACGAACAATTTAAATTTTACTATTAACCCCGATAAAACGAAAATAATTATTTTTCAAAATTCAAATAATGTACTTAATATACATATTAATAACACTTGTGTGGAAACAGTTAAATCTCACTTATACTTGGGTATAACATTAGATAAATTTTTAAGTTTTGGAATTCATATTAAAAATACAAAAACTAAAATTGTAGATCGATTAAATATGATTAAAGTTATTAACAGTCTAAAAATAGGAGCTCATCCGCAAACTATGATCACTATTTATAAATCAATTTTTAGAAGTATTATTGAATATGGCTCATCAATTTACAATAACAGTAAAAAAACTAATAGGAAAATAATTGAAATAGTAAATAATACATGTTTACGGAAAATAACCGGCTGTACCAAAACTACGCCTTTAAATACTTTAATGGCTATCAGTGCACAACAACCTCTTCAGCATAGACATGAGTTTATTGCTGCTAAAGATATAGCTAGAGCGATTAATCATAATAGTATTGTTTCAGATCAACTCAAGAGAATTCCTCCCGACATAGAATTAGAAAAATTAACTTACTTTGAAAGTATTTTTATGAAGTACAGAAACATTTTTGATTTAATTTCACCATGCATTTCATTGCCTTATTTGTTATGAATGGTAAATTTAGAAATAGACCAAGAATTTTTACTGATGCGTCTAAAGATCATGATAATTGTGGCATAGGTATTTATATTGAATTTACAAAGACTAAGTTTTCTTTCAAATTGAAATATGAAACTAGTATAGCTACTGCGGAACTAATTGCAATAAGTGAAGCACTAAAAATTATAGAACAGCAAGAATTAAATTTTGCAGTTATTTATATTGATTCCAAAACTTCATGTCAAATTTTGGAAGCTGCTTTAGGTTCTTTTTTTATTCCTCAATTACTAGCAGAAATTATATCAAGAGCAATAGAATGGAAAACCACAATTCAATGGATACCTAGTCATGTTCAAATTGTAGGAAACGAAATGGCGGATTTTTTGGCCAAAAAAGGTTTATCTAGCTCAATGATCAAGTCCAATCAAATACTTCTTAAGGATGCCTTTTTTAAATTTAAAAAAGTTTCAATTGACAATAGTAATCTATGGTACCACCAATACGCACAAGATAAAGGAAGATATTTTTATAAATTTCAAAATTCCCTAGACGCGGAAGCATGGTTTTTTTAAAAACAGCTAAATAATGAACAGACTAGACTTTTAAACAGGCTTTTGTCGGGTCATAATTTCTCTAACTATTGGAAAGCTAAAATGAAACTTGTGCAAGACGAAAATTGTGATCTATGTGATGAACCAGAAACTAGTGACCATATAATACTGCATTGCATAAAATTTGGACATATTAGAATGCAATACTCTTTTGATTGCAAGTTTAGAAATTTAATAGATTTATTTAATACTAGAAATATTGATTTATTTATAGAAGTTACCGATTTTCTTAAACATATAAAGGTTGAACTGTAAAAAATCGTGTACGGTCGATTAAGTACGAAAAGGTACAAATATGAATTTTTCTGTTTATTTTTGGACCCTGCATACGTTGCTTACGAAATGAAAAAAAAAACAACAGGGCATTATAGTCTCAGTAACTTCGCCCTTTTTTGTTGTAGCCACTGACATTGTGGCACCAGCAGAGTAAAAGAAGAAGAAGAAGATACCCGATCCAGGTTGGAACTGAATAATAAACGAATTAGCCAGTATTATTTTTTCACTTATCTATCAACAAACTGTCAATTTAGGCGTGAAGAAACGTTGGCTTACACTGCCGTTGTCAACGCCAAAGCTCGCGTCACTTTTTAAAAGGTCCTAAGTAACAAATGTAAAAAAAAAATTACACAAAACCCCCATCCAAATTTACTTTCATTTATTTATAATAATCATAGTTCAAAAATTGTCCAATGTACAGTTTGAAATGATCGGTACATGATTGTTACTTCGGTCATTTGGACTGCCTAACATGATTGGTGCTCATTTTCTAAAGGCGGGGGCAATCTAAAGTTAGGTACTCTACTCTGAATTCTGTGAAAGGGAATCTAGTATCATGTAGAACAAAACGTCCAATGTAACACTCATTGATTATGCCATTGAGAAAAATCGTCCAATGTAACATGTCCAATGTAACATGTCCGATGTACAACTTGACTAGTCAAAACGTGGTTTTTTTTCTATATTGTAGCATGAAATTCAAAGTAAAATTGTGATTTTACCCTTTCAGCGTTTGATTACCAGTGATGAATTAATTCAAAATAACGTATGCTCGGAAAATGAATTTCCTGATTTTGAGATAAACTACGAACATTCTCCGCGGCTAATAAATTTCATGGATCGTGGATGCACTTCATGAAATCTTTAGAAGACTCTGAGCAGAATACTGAATTGCGGAAGGAAGACCACAACCACAACCACAACCACAAGACGTCAGGAGTCAGGACCAGGCATGGAAAATCATTTACATTCATTTGGCTCTAACTTTTTTCATCATCAGCATTCTGCAAAATGATGTATAGAGCTTTAGTAGGTTTTGTTATTAGCTACAACTTTTGCCTATAACTCAAATCTGTATCTCTTATGCATCACGAATTAGAGCGGGCAGAACTTGTTACTGTTTTTCAGTGAATGTAAAATACATTAACTGAAAAACAGTAGTGGCTTCTGTTCGCTCTGGTTCGTCATACATAAAAGATACGAGTTCGAGTTGTTAACAAAGCTAACAAAGTAGCTCAAAAAAACAAAACCTACAAAAGCTCCATACACCATTTTGCGGAATTCTGTTGATGAAAAAAGTTAGGGGCAAATGAATGTAAATGAATACACGAAATGAATGCAAATGATTTTCCATGTCTGGTCAGGACGTCCAATGTCTACGATCCACACAAATACCTCTAAAAACCAGTCTACGTAGTTTATGAACAGCCCCTTATCTGCAACCGCATTGCAAATGTTATCCTATTTACTGGCACGACTTACTAGCCATTCAGAAAGCAATACTCACCGACGGTGTAATCGGCGCTGCCGGTGCCATGATTGGCTTCCTCGTTGCCTTCGCAGCCGTTCCCCAACCACTGGAACCGCTACCAGCCGTCGGATTGGGCGCCACTATCGTCCTCGCTTCTTTTTCGGCCTCGACGGCAGCAGCAACCGTACCGGCAGCGGCCTTACTCTGATCAATCTTGGTCCGCACCGTTCTTAGGAAATGATCCAACCGTTGCTCGAAGGCAACGTCGTTAGGACCAGCAACGACCGGAGCTTCCGGTAGCGAATCGTTGTTATCCATTTCGGCGACGCTGGTCGGTGTCAATGGCGCCGGCGAGTAGGTGGGACTCTCCAGCATAACACGTGACGGACTGGCATTGTCCATATCGCGGAGGAACGCCTCCCGAAGGTGCTGTTTGGCTTCGTGTTCAGTCGCCGGATCGGGTACAGGATCTGGGGCGGGGTAGTAGTCTGGATCGGAATCCGAATCAGAATTGCCCACCTGAATTACCATCCTGGCAACGGGTTTTTGCACGTAGTTCTCCAACAGGGTGGATCGTTCTTTAGGAGAGGGGATTTGAACGGGGTGAAGTGGTGCGTTCAGATTGATAAGTTTGTTGGGGTTGTTTACTAGCTTTTTGGTGGTAACCATTATTTTCTGAGGTGGCGGCAACGACTTTTGTACTGCTGGGGTATTGATTAGAGTCCGCGAAGGAAGTGGAACGGCAATCGCTAGGACCTGATTGTTTGTGGGAACCCGTTGTTGTACTTGTTGGAGAGTCATTTTGACGGCGGCGGCTGCGTTGGTTGTCGAATTGGACTTTTTCCGTTTCTTGCGGGTTATCTTTTGCTTACCGATTAGGGTTATTAGGTTGGGATGTGATTGTACTTTCGATTGATTTGTGGAAACCGCGAGGTTTAAGGCAGGTGATGGCATTTGGCTGTCTTCCGGCAGAACCGGAAGAGAAACATTGTTAATGCTAATGGTAAGAGGTTCCATGGCGCATGGAACTGCAACCGGACCGTTGTCCTGTTTACCGTTTGGAATGTCTGCTGTTTCAGTCTTCTCGGGAACTTCCGATGCGAGCGGCGTGGTGTTAACCGGCGAAACTTGCTTATTGGAAGATTTTTTATGCATCTTGGATAGGATAAGCTCACGTAGGGCATCTGCCTCTTCTTCACTACTGGAATCCGGGGTCATCGGACGGCTTCCGTTGGGAGCCGGAACTGGTTTTATGACAGCTGCAGAAAGTTTTGATAGTAATTGATTTCTAAGCGATTCTTCATCGTCTTCTGCGGGAAGCTTGCTTTGCAAATCTTCGCTTATGACAGGCGGTGGAGGAGGTTCCACTTCAGGGATATCATCTTTGGTTTCGGTTATTTGTTCATGACTAGCAGCAAGCAGCATAGGACTGCGAGATTCACCACTGGTGGCCAATTCCATATCAACCGCTTGGGTAATCTCCGGTGGATCGGGACATTGCGGCTCGGGACTTATTTCCATACGATTTTCTTCGTCCGAAGAGCTATCCGGAATTTCCACGGTTTCATTACGTATTTCAATGATTTGAACCTCATCATCATCCTCCTCTTCAATCGGAGAAGTAAACAAAAATAACTCATCACTTGGAGAGTAAGGCCTTTCTCCTTGTTTTTTCTTCTGTCTTATTTCATGCTTCTTGGTAAATGCCGATCTGAGAGCGATCATTCTCAGCTGTTGCTCCTCGGCCGCAGTCTCCGGCGTAATCGGATCGTCAAGCAGACTGATGACTCCTGACTCCTTGATTTCCGCCTTACTTTTCAAAGCTTGCAACCGCAGCTGCAGAACTTCCTCATCTTCTTCTTCCTCTTCATCATCCTCCTCGTCAACCACCAGCACCATAGGCTCATCCGCTATAATCTCTACCTCCTTACTCGTTTCGGATTGCTTTTTCTTTCGCTTTTGCATCGACAGTTTCAGCTTTTGCTTCAACGCATCCCAGTTCTCCTTATCAGTCTTCCGTTTCCCAGCATTTATGTTACAAGCGGCCTGCAAGCGCGCCCTATCCAGCGGAAAGTCCCCCTCCGACTCGGACGTGTCGACAATGTTCACCATGGAAGCATCGACATGCTGCTTCCGCCGTTTGTGCCTAGTTCGATGCAAACCACCACTTTTCCTAGCTGACGATTGCTCATGCTTACGCTTTTCTACCCTTCGCTTCGATTCCCCATGCCTCCGGCTGATGCTAGATGTCCCCAACGAACGTTGAGATCCGGCACGCAGTGGACGCAATTTTCTCCTTCGGACTGGTAACAGTTTCGGTTTGGGAATAGGCTCGTATCGCCGCAGATACAGCTCGACATCCTCCTCGTCCGAAATGCATTCGTACTCGGCATTCTTCCGAACGTCTATCACAGATGGCTTATCGTGCGCTAAACGAGATAAGAAGTTAATTTCATTCGCCGTGCTGATAGCAACGACGTGTCACCTTGCTATCATCCCACGGAAGCTCCCCCCACATCCCTAAAAAAAATAAACATTACCAAAATGCCCCATGTCCTCATTGCTGGCTCCGGTAATCTGGTTAATCTTCCTCAGCTCATCGTCCATCGCTTCGAGCTGGGCAATCCGTTCCCGAATGTTAACCTCTTCCTCGGAACTAATGTCCTCGTACTCGAGCACTCCCTCGTCCTCGTCGTCCTCAATTTCCCCTTCCTCATACTCATCGTCGATCGCGCTGCTATTGGTGACGAGGGAATTCAGGGAAGTCTGTACCGGGATTTCGATAACATCCTCTTCAGTCCCCGGGGGCGGTGGTTCTTTTTCGCTGAATGTTGTGGTACTTTTATTTTGTTGCTCATCCGTCGAATCCATATTTTCCACCACCGCCATGATGGTGTTCTTGAAAAAGATAAGAGCAGAAAAAGGAAAACACTGGAAGGGAACCGAATTTCACGGCCACTGCACTACAACACTATCTATTTCATCGGAATTGACTTTCACTGGAGGCACTTGCAATAGGAACACTGAATGCACTTGATTTTTTTCGGAAAAAGTACAACCAAATTAAGCAAAATTTAGAATTATTTTTCGCGTTTCCGTCATGCAGAAGTTCATGATTTTTTTTTTTTCGTTGTGGATTTTCTCCCTTTTTATGGCACAGACCTGTTGGTCCATATTAATTGTGGATTTTCGTTTCAGAACAATGACGAAGTCTGACATTGAGTTTGGTTTGACAGTTATTGATAGGGCTACCAGAAACCAAGATTTATAAAAAGCGTTTGCCAAACATCTGCGGGGATTTCAGGGGAAACATGTCAGAAGGGTCTAACTCGAAACGTTCCTCTGCCTTCCACCGCTGATTTTCTTTGCTGACAGCCTCGCTGACAGCTTTCTCCAGAATGTTGGTCAGCTCGTCGTTGGTAATGTTACGACAGTTATCTCAAACTCTTCGCCTGAAAAAGGAAATGTTCATAAAAGTATAAAAACCTACACACAAACAACGAACATTGTATTAATAAAAATAATGCATTTTCAAATTAAAAGTTTCTTAAAATTAGTAGTTTTAACAACAAACATATTAAAAATAAAAGTTAACTTTTTAAATTGAAAGTTTTTCTTTTACTTTTGACTCGTGGTTTTAAAAGTACAAATTTTTAAAACAAAAGTTGTACAACTGTCAAAAATATCCCTTCAGCGTTGTTTTACTGGCTGCACTGACGTCTCATATGCCGCCTTTTCTGCTAATCTGGCCGCTTTGAGCATGACATCCAAATCAGAAGTTGCAAAAAGAGTCATGATTATTTTGTGGGATACCAGAAACTGAACTTTTCTTCGTTGGATATTCCGACATTATTTGCTGCAACGTAGAGACCCACTTGGAATTGGCATTCCAAATCGAGTTCCAAATGGTAAGTACATTATTTTCATTGTTATTGTTATTGGATTTTTAGATTCTTTTTTATATCATACTATGAAATTAACCAGGACGACGTCGTGACAGTTTTCGGTATCGACCGTATCAAATTCCTGTCGGAGAAGGATCAAGCCCTACCGAGAGCCCTACAGCATAATAACGAGAATCCGTCACCAGTTGGTACATTCTGATGTTGCGGCATAGGATTTTATACGTCTGTAGCGCTCAGTGCTGGATTCATCGGATTACGAAATGTAAAACAATACCAAGCTTGTCTTGCCAGTGTCCGGATTATGTGTTCCTCGTATCGACCTTCACTTGCCGGAAAATCTATCTGTGTCGCTCCGTGAATCTCGTTGCAAAACCGCTTAATTAGTTGTAAAGAAAATTAGTAATAAACAAATATATTTTTTGAAGTTTTTACTAATTTTCAAAACGTCAAATTAAATATTATTTAGAATTTAAAATGAATACAAGATGTTATTACGGTGAAAATGCGTATTTTAAATTTTAAATTTTTATTTTTCCTATCCAAAATGTTACTTATCGTTTTAACTATATCATATTTTCAAATCAAAACTTTGTTTTGAATTGAAAAGAAACCAATTTTAATGCCATCACTGCCGTGCTTTTAATTTGACAGTAATACAATTTATTTTGAAAGTTTTAGCTTTTAAAAGTAGTGAGCGGACAACTTTTGATTTAACAGTTGGCTGACTTTTGGTTTGAAAGCTAACCGCTTTCTACCAAAAAGAACCAATGCAAACTTTTAATTCTACCAATGGATTTTTTAATTCTAGCAACGATTTTTCTTTCTGTGTAGGCGTGAACAGCTTTATACCAACAATCAATACGAAACTAACGATTTTAAATTGGCTCACCACTATAGTAGCCTATTGGTCCCAAGCAAACGATTAACGTACCCTATTCTAGTTGAAATTCTATTACTACACTATGTTTGTTTTGATTCGCTATGAAAGTTTGACAGATAACATCAGGGGTGTGTGGATTCATGCAGAACATGCAGGGGTGAGTGAAATAGCTTGGGACTGCTTGGGACCGTTGTTCTGGTACTGAGTGAGCCAAAAATAATAATGATTTTCTTCGGGACCTACTAGTCTTAGAGTTACCTCTATGTTTATACCCCGTACAGACTATGGCTTATATCATGTAATATAGGCTGTCTTGCAATGAGCACCCATACATCTAGTTTTCACTGGAAATTCTATGTATGAGTGCTCATTGCAAGACAGCTTATATTACATGATATAAGCTATAGTCTGTCCGGGGTATTAGGTGTCCCGGACCATTTTCTGTATATTCTTTTCACAATGTACACGCAGAAAAAAAACTATCGTCGTAACAAAAATATTTGAGGTAAATTTAAACGTAAACTCAGTTTGTTCTGGCCACAAACATAAATTAGGTTCATTTCAAACGTATTCCATGTTTGAATTCATGTGAAATCAATGTTTAAAATAAAAATAATGTTACGTTTATTTCAAAAATATTCGTGTTGAAAATAAACGTTTTTATTTTTGTTTGGTTTGACAGCTATGCGAACAATAATAAATATGTTTATTTTAAACATGCTTCTCATGTTTAAAATAAACATACATATTTTGGAATTATTTAAGTAGTTGAGTGCAGGGTAAAGCAAAATAAAACGGCTTGCAAAGAAATGAAAAAAAAAAACAAAGATTTTCGGGCAGGGCATCTTAATTCCTGCTCTTTTTCGGGTGCGATTAAGGGTGACCTGTGGGTATTGGGGTCCTGGTCCGGGATGCGAGGACCCGTCGGGGTGGGTGTCCGGGGGTTCCAGTTCAGTGGAACCGGTGCAAATTTGTGTTATAAGCGTCGTTTTGCCGTTTCTGCCACTGGTCCTCATACCGGTTTCTTTCCATGTTCGGTATCGGAGGAGGATCCGGAATGGATTCGGAATGGATGGCCGTTTTCTGTTGAGGTTGAGCAAAGCTGGGGCAACTTTTTCCGAATGTAACAAGAAGGAAATAAAAAGGCATGACACGCTAAAAACCGTTTACCCAAATCCTATATTGTTGAAATATACATGCTTTTGAATTTAGTTCAAACATAAATATTTTAGTTTTAAACATGCTTTCAATTTACTTTGAATAATTCATATGTTTAGAGTATAAACATTTATATTTTTGTTTTAAATGAACAAAATTCGTATCCGTGTACCAGAAAGAATTAATTCTGATAGGCATTGGAACCTTTTGTTGTTACTCGTTGGAGTTCCATCATTTGTATAACCAATCTAATAGTGAATTTTGTGTTGTTCTTTTTCCGCTCGGTTCTTGGCTGTGTGACTATGACAAGGGCTGATAAGAACATATTTGGATGTACAAAACCATGTGATCATACCAGGGTGATGGCCTATTTTTATTCGAATAATCGATTAATCGATTAATGAACCGAAAAGTAAAATATTTTTAATTGGTTATATTGTGCCAATATAAGGCTTAACTCATTAACATACATGTATGTATACATTAGGGGTTTTGTCCTGTTTTGTTGTTCGTTTCGGTTTCGCTCAAATACACACTCTTGGCTTGAGAAAATTATTCCAGAAGCTCCTCGATCAAGAACGCGGAAAAAATCCGTTCAAATTTTCGGTGGCAGCATTAGAAATCTCCACCAAAATCGTGCAGAGCATCCTCCACCGAAAACGCGAGAATAGTCCATCAAAGCTCACTGGAACATCCTTTGGTAGTACCGAAATCTCTCGGAATCCTCTTCGCCGTGAACATATGAAAACTCCTTCAAAACTCCCCTCGAAAATTCAGATGCTTCCAACGGAGGTTCCCAGAGGCTTTTGACGAAGTTTCCACGCATTATCGGTGAAAGTGGTTCTGCACGATACCAGTGAAGAAATTGAATGCTGCAGATGGAAGTTCCAGGGAAAATCGACGGCGTTTTCTCACGTTATCGATGGATGAGATTCCGCGTGATTTCGGTGATTTTGGAAGCTGCCAGCAGGAGTTTCTGGAAGTTCAAATGGATTTTTCCTGCCTTCTAGGGGAAGGAGGTTCTGCATGATTTCGAAGTCTGCCAACGAAGGCTCTAGGAACTTTGTCTTGTCCTGATAAAGGGTTCATCCACCAGGATTACGTTTGACTCGGTTTGACTACACACATTACATTGAGGCTACATTGAGTCTGTTGATGTTGACAAATAAATAAATTACAACTACAAAAAGTATGTCATTAAAAGATGCGGAATTTCGCTGCCGTTTTCTTACGATCTTGGTGAATGAGGTCCCATTCGGTTTCGGTGGAGATTTATGATGCTTCCAGTGAAGGTTTAAGGAAATTTTAACGGAGTTTTTTTTTCTGCACAATTTTGGTGGAGGTTTCTGATTCTGCCAGCGGATGTTCCAGATTCGTCGGAGTTTTCTCGCATTTTCGGTGCTGCCAACGGAAGTTTCAAGAAATCTGTACGGTATTTTTTCGGGTTTATTAAGTGGAGGAGCTTCCGCATGATTCTGGCGGAGATTTCCGATGCTGCCAACGGAGGTTCTACGGAATTTCGACGGAGTTGTCCCGCGTTCTCGGCGGAGCAGGTTTTTCGTAATTTTGATGTTGGCAGTGGACAGCTTCTGCACGATTTCGTTGGAGATTTTCTTTGCTGCCGGAGAACGTTGCTGGGAGATTTCCGTGAATTCTCTACTCCGAGTTTTACTTTGCTGTTGTGTTTGTTTATCTTCACCTCGATTCATGTATGTATGTATAATTATCACCGGAAAAGCGCATGCTTTGTTTTGATTTTTACATCCCTCTGAATGGTTGATGCAAACGATGGAAATTAAATGCATTTGATTTAAATTAAATGCATATTCAATGGGAATTCTAAAAGTGAGATTCCCCTAGGATCTGCCCCTAGATTTGGACTATCATTCATTAATGTTTTTTAATTAAGAATGCACTGGCGAAAGAACGTAAACCAACTTTATTAGAGTCATGGAGCTCGAGCACACCCGAGAGCACGCCTGACTCAGAGTATTTGGTGGGATTCAACCTCGGATTCAACTGAAGAAGTGCTAAACAATTTGATAGTTGAGAAACTGTTCAAGCAGTTTGACTGGCAAAATAAAATCGTAAAAATAACTTAAATTTTGAGTGGTTTCCTTTTGCTGTGCACTCAACCGCTGAAGCGCCGCTTCCATCCATCACACACCGCGCTGCTTCGACTGCGACGTCAAT